CCCAATCCCATCTTGTGGGGTCCTCGCTTGCAGAACACGCATATCCACGTGGAGTCGGTGGTGTCCGCATCGTATCGATTGCTCAGCGTGGAGCTGTGCATTCCGCGCAGACTCTTCCTCTCGTGGGGCGCCTTCTTGGCCTTGGTCTGCTTCTCGTTGACGTCCTCGGCGCTGTGTGTGTTCTTGATGCTCACGCTGCCGTCTGGCTTGATCAGAATGAAGGGCGACTTGAACCGCAGATCAACACTTCCTCCTCCGTTCGTGGGCGCCTGAGTGCTGTCCTCGTCGGTGGTCGGCGGCTTGCGACCTGCTGCACTTGACTTCTTTCCGTTCTGCTTGGCCTTGCTCTTCCCCGCTGCCCCCTTCTTGCCCTTTCCGCCGGCCGCGTTCTTCTTCTTGGTCGCTGTGGCCTTGGGGATCGCTGCTTTGGCGGCAGCCACCTCGTTCTGCTGTCGCACTGCCAACGCCGCGGCTGCTGCTGCCGAGGTACTGGGCTTGTCATCATCCTCGCTGTCTAGCTCTGGCTCGGGAGCAGACCGCTTTCTGCCACGGCCACCGGATTTCTTGGCCTTGCCTGTCGGCTCATCGATCATGAAACGCAGCAGGGAGGCATCCATGCCCATGGAGAGCCTTCGTTGTGGCGGCCGGCGGGAAGACGCGCCCTTGGGAGGAGTCAGGATGCTGGGAGATTTTACGTCCTCGGTGCCAGTCAAAGGCGTCGATGTGGAGCGAGTTTCTGGCGTGGGGCTGTGCACAGGACTGGGCAGAGTCGACTTCTTAGCTGCCTTGGTGGCCACCGGACGCACTTCGGGGATGACGAGTGGAAGAGCAGTTGCAGGTGAGCCTGACACTGGTGTCCCCGCCGCCGCTGGCTCATTCTCTACTTTGGCGCTGTCCAGAGCCAGCTGAGCACTCAAATCGTGCGACACTGGATCGTCTACGGCTGGATGGGCAGGTTTCTCTGGTGTGCCATTCTGTTCGGGCTCCTCCTCGATGCCAGCGAACATCTCCTCCAGCTTATCCTCTACCTCTCCGAACGCACAGTGCTCAGAGTTGGCCGCAGGTGGTGTTTCCTTAGCTGTTGGTGCTGCTGCTGTTGCGGTTGTTTCGGGGACTTCCAGGGGCAAAGCAGGAACCGGCGTCGGTTGAGGTGATTCCGGCTCCTTGGCGGCACCGCCCACTGGCTCCTCTTCTTCGTCGCACTCGTGCACACTCACCGCTGGCCTGGCATCAATGTTTCCCTGCTCGACGAGAGCCGGTGACGCGGGCGTGTCCGTTGTGGCATTGTTTTCATCGTTCTCGGGCTTCTCCGGTCGCCGGACATCGTTGCTGGTGGCATGACTGCTATGGCTGCTGTGCGTGTTGCCGCTGGAGCTGCTCGAACTGCTGCTGCTGCTGTTGCTCTGAGGACTCGGTGGTGGCATGGTCGGCGGAGTGTGCTTCAGCGGCGGTTCGTCCTCTTGCTGGATGCGCTGCTGCTCCGTGAGGTTTCTTTGGAGCAGGGCCTGCCGCTGCTTCTTCGTCTTGGGATTCTCATCGTTGTAGAGCGTGGAGCTGTTGCTGTTCTCCGTAGGCGATGGCGACGATCCCCGTCCGTTCTCCTGCTTCGTCTTGTCATTCTGGGACTCGGACTGCATGCCAAACGGTTGGAAGTCGGAGCCCGCGATCTTGGGCGACTGCTTTGGACTGCAGGTGTTGCTATGATTGCTGGGCGTATGTCCAGGCTGCTGCTGCTGCGGCTGCTGCTTGGCTGCTACTCCTCCCTCGGGCGCATTTTCATTGGGCGTGACCCGCATGACGAGGCTGGACTTCCGCTTGCGCCGTTTGCGGCTGTTACTGCTGTTGCTATTCGACTCCAGCGACTCCTCGTTGGATGTGGTCAGGTAGGGTGATTCGGGGGCATCTGTAACGGGTGGTTTCTCCACCTCTACCGCCGGAGCGGGTGGCAGCGAAGGCGCCGCATTCCGATAGGATAGATCCGTGATAACTGTTTGATTCTCCGCCTCCGGCTGCGTCTTTTGCTTGGCCATCGACTCGAGATTCGTCAGTTGCGAGCTGCGGGAATGATGTGTCGTCTGTTGCTGCGTTGATGGCGCCTGCTGCTGCTGCTGTTGCTGCTGATGCTGCGGCTGGGCTGTGCTCTGCTGTTGGGCGTGGAACTGAGAGCTAATTAAATGGGGCGGTGGCGGATGCAGAGGGGAAGCGACCGAAACAGGCTGATTGCCTCCCACATGCTGATTATGATAGTGCAAGTGTTGTGGCTGTTCCTGCTGCATGTGCTGGTAGCCGCCTCCCCCGTGGCTGCCACTATTCAGCTGATGGTGCAGATGCAGCTGATTGTAGTCCATTGTGGGAGAGTGCATCTGGTGCGGTGGCCCGGCCAGCGGCGACTGCGGAGTTGGTGGCGTTTGGGGACCATTGTATTTTGGAGTAAGGTTATACGGAGGCGGTTGCTGCTGCTGTTGTTGTTGCTGCTGCTGATGATAGTTGCGCAAGGGTGAGGCTAGGCAGGAGTTAGGAAAGGATTAGCTGGCATTTTAATGGAGCAAAGGGGGAACTCACGTTTCTTATTCGCATGCTGCTGGGACTGCTGGGACTGCTGCTGCTGCTGCTGATGCTGGAGATTGTGCGGCGACTGCTTGTCCTTCTGCATGCTCTTCGATGACAGCACCTCCTGCTCGAAGCTGCGCTTTAGCTGCGACAATTTAAAGTTCTCGTCGCGATTCTGCATATAGTGCGGGCTGGGGACATTGTTGTTGCTGCCGGTATGATTGATGCTGCTGCTTCCGGGTGGTTGATTAGCTGTGGGCGGCGGCCGCGGTAGCAGCGATTCGCAATCGGTGCCATTGGACAGGACCAAGGAGGAGGCTGCATTCTGGTTGCTCGACTGCAGCATGGCATGAGCCGCCGCCATGGCTGCGAGGTGTCCCTGCTGCTGCTGCAGCTGTGCGCTCGTTGGCGTTGCATTTGACGCTAGGTTTTGGCTGCTCGAAATGGAAACAGATGGAGATTAGCTGGAAAAATATTGCCCATGACTCTTACATAGTCGGATAGTTGGGGGCATGCATGAGGGACTGTTGCTGCTGCTGCTGCGCCTGCTGCTGGGATTGCTGTGGCTGCTTGGCTAGCGGCTGGGCCGCGCTGCGTGCGGACTGCAACGAGAGGTCCATGGAGTCGAATGGCAAGGTTCCAGTGTATGGCGGCGCCAGCAAGGGATTCATTTGATGATGATGATCCAGCTGCGAAGAGTGAGAGTGTGTGAGCACATTTGACACTATTCGGAAGGACTTTCGCGAGGACTGTCACAAGGTATACAATGCGGGATGGCAGCGGGCGAGACACACACAGAAGAAAGCAAATAATGATTACAAAACAGATATAAAACTGCTAAGGAAGGAATCTATTCTACTGGCTAGGCGGGCGGGCGGTCAGGAGATTGGAGCATGCGTGTCTACTTTGAATTCTGATTCTGCTCTCGGTTTCCTAATTACGTTTTTATGATTGGCCGACATAAAATTGTAAAGGGCGTCTGGCGGCGGCGGTGGCTGGGCGGACACGGAGGCATGCCAGGCCAGGGGCGAGCGCACCATGGGCCGCTCGTTCGACATATGCGCCAGCTGAGGCTGCCGTGGAATGTACGATGGTATCTGGAGATTGAGATTTTTCAGTCAGCAGGATTCCAGCGACTTCTAGACGGCCTTGTGGCGTCACTACTTACTTGCAGCGGGTTCCATGATGGGTTCTGGGCCGCCTGGCTGAGGTGGCCGTGCGGATGATTGTTGTTGGCCATTGTGCTATTGCTCTCTATCACTGCTGTCGTCCTTTGGGCTAACTTGAGTCGCGCGGGAGGGAAGACCTGAGATCATGGGCAGTACCTGTACCTGTACCTGTACCTGTACCTATCTAGCAGTCCAGCCGTCGGCTCGGAATGTGCCTGATAACTGATAACTTTCGCGTGGCAAGGGGGGAGGGGGATGCACAGCCTCTTCTCTACACAAGCATACGGCATGGGAGGTCCTGTCACATTGTCTATGCAGCCACCGGACGAACCATCGAGCGAAATAATCCGATAATAGTTAGTGCAGGGCGCTGCTGGTGCCCTTTTTCTTAGCCTATAAACAATTCCGCACGCACTTTTTTCACACCACCCACCCACTGGCGAACGGTTTTCGGCGAGCGAGCGGCAGGCGCTCTCGTGGTCCTTGCGCGATAACAGGGCCACAAACAAGGCAGCCGATAAACTTATCGACAGATGACAGCGTTGTTTTGCACGCTACGCCAAAAACACGCGGTGTTTGTAACAGATGAATGTTCTCAACTGGCTTGGGCTCAGAAATGCCATTTTGAGTTGTATGCGGCCTTGGGGTTTGTTCGGTTAGCACAATGATGGGATGTGGCAGCACGGTTAGTGGCTTTGCTGGTGATATCATATGCTGTATGAATACCTCAATTCTCAATTGCAGCGCATTGCAACTTCGTTGTGGCGGTTCGCGAATTTTTCTTGTTTTGGGTCGTGGACGGACCCATGGAAGCAAAATCGCCTTTCCGAACGAACTTTTGCCTTCAACACATGGCGGTGGCAGTACGGCGAGAGGAGTTGCCTATTTTATAAAAAGCCGCATTGATTTTCTAGCGTGTTTACGCGTATTTTCAATAACAATTTAAATTGTTAACAAAATGTAATTTATCTACGCTTCAGTGTGACCGAATTAATTTGTTTTTGCAGTTTGTTCGATTTTGTGCCGTCTCTAGGTCACACACCTTGCCACTTTCATAGATACTGAAATAAATACTAGAAGTGAAACGCGCTATTTAACTGCGCTACAGTGTGACCGATGGTGCAGCCAACATATAGAGTTAAATTCATTATCAATTGAAAAAGGATTTTTTCAATTACCAAGTTATTTTCGTGGCAGCATTTTGTTAACTTTTTATCCACCAATTCCGGAAAAAAACTCAAAAACAGTAAAAGAAAATTGGCGCCAAAACACGTACACACTACTGTGCAGCCCTGGCAAATCGCAAACAAATACAAAAATATTGCAAATTCTTTTACAAAATGAGCGCGGGTAAACGTGGAGCGTTTTTCGTTTTCGAAGGCTGCGACCGCAGCGGCAAGACGACTCAGAGCCGACTTTTGGGTAAGTTATTCCTTTTGCTTTACAGAAAACCCTAAAAACTTCAAAGCTTTGCGTTTGCAGCTGAGTTCTTGACGTCAAAAGGCATTCCAACGCTGTCCATGAACTTCCCGGAGCGGGAGTCAAGTATTGGCCAGGTGATAAACTCGTATCTGACCAACAGCAAGGATCTGCCGGACGAGGTGATACATTTGATGTTTGCGGCGAACCGCTGGGAGTACATGAACAAAATCCGGAGGGAACTTTTGGCCGGCACCACGCTGATTGTCGATCGATATTCCTACTCTGGTGTCGCCTATACCATGGCCAAGGGACTGGACTTTGACTGGTGCTACGCACCGGAACGGGGACTCATCAAGCCCGACGCGGTGTTTTTCCTGAAAACAGCGCCCGTTAACCTTTCGAGTCGCGGGAAGTACGGAGAAGAGCGGTAGGTTCTTATCTGGAATGAGCTGCAGTTGCACAAACATTTTATCCTGCCATTGCAGCTATGAGAAACTCGAGTTCCAGCACAAGGTGGCCGAGGTGTACAATCGAATTGGCGAGCGGGAATTCAGCTACTGGCACGAAATCGATGCCAGCCAGCCCGTGGCGGAGTTACACACAAAGATTTCAGGCATTGCCGAGAAGCTGCAGCAGCAGGTGGAAGGGAAGCCGCTGGATAAGCTAACATAGCACAAATCCCAGGCCCAGGCTCGGGCTCGGGACCAACAACGAGGGGATTTATTGTACATTGATTTATGGCTTGGAAACGCATTTGATATATATGTAAATATTGGCAATTGTTTTGTTGTCGGCGCTTAATTTTTAATTTACGATGAGAGGCAAGCTATAAATCGCCCGTCTCCGATTCGCGATGGCCGTGAACAGGCGTCGTTAGGTGTCGAGCGAATGCAAATACGGAATTGCATATGCACACCGGATTATGAACGGTGAAGAGGCGCCGAGATTGGATTAAACGCTACACTTTTATGTGCTTAATCCCATTGTGATTTGTGTGCGCGCAGAGCACAATCAGAATCCTCGAGGATTAGCTCGCTCCATTGTTGCTCCATTGTAGTTGTTTATTAATACTTCATTACAATTATCTGAACTACCAAGGGCTCTTCTCATTATGGCTAAACTAAAGCGAAAATAATTTATGCGGTTTCAACTTGGTTGTTAATCTGCCGCCACAAATCCAGTTGGGTATCCTCTGCTTGTGCTTGGCACACCCTCCACACACCACACACCACTCACTGCTCCTTGCACCGGCTGGCACTGGCTCGCGCTACTAATTCAACTCGTAGCTCTCGTAGCCAAAATCATCGCGTCGACTGCGTGGCCCGGCTTTGGGACTCCGGGCTCGCACCGTCAGCTGGCGATAGCCCACGCCTGGCTTGTAGTCAAGGTTGGGAGCGACACGTCCTCGAACGCCCCCACGTCCCCGCTTTTGCGTCTGGTGGTAAAAGCCAATGTCGCCGTAGCTGTGCTTGGGCCACATGCACTCACAGCCGGAGGGCACCGTTCGGGTCTCGGACTCCCAGCAGCCGGAGGCATCGTTTAACCGAATCAGGTGGATGGTGCGGTTAAGCTGGATGCAAGCGAAGCCTATCGCCGAACAGATCTGGAATGAATACGAAACTGGATTCAGGAGCTGTTCATGTGCGAAGCTTAGAGTGGAACCCACCTCACGCTTCTCGCCCCGCTCCGCGAGCAGGGCCCGCAGCAGATCGTTGCCCCTGTAGACGTAGTCATAGTTGTGGACCCGAGGCGGCTGCGGGGCGTAGTTGTGGGCACAGGTGACCTCCACATAATGATTGGGACGGTACTCGCCGCTGTCCAGCTTGACGGTGACTCGATTGGTGGGGCACAGCGACTGATAGGTTACCTGTGGGGCAGAGAATGTCAAGCGGATTATGGCAGCACACAGCTGGTGGGGATTTGTGGGCTCACCTCGTCACTGTTGGGGCCAGGAGCCAGCAGCTGTTGGGCGGGCGGCATAACGCTGCGAACGCGACGCTTGCGCACATTCTGTATGCCGTAGGGCAGCTGTTCACTCAGCTCATCCGCGTCCTCGTCCACGTCCTGGCCCTCGGCCGCCACGGCATAGTCCTCTTCGCCCTCAATGTCGACACGGGCATCAGGGGCACCAGCTTGAACAGCAGCTGCTGCATATTCGTTGTCATAAAGCTGCTGCTGACCCGCCTCTGGCTCCCTGCAATTGCATATGCATAGAAATTTTTTAGCTTTGGCAATGAATTAACGCCGCTCGCGTCTCCTGCCACTGAAGCTGCGAACGTTGCGGAAATGACTGCGACGGAGTGGAAAAACGACGGTTTTTAGACGGTTACTCTGTGTGGGTGTGTAAAGCGAGTGCAACTAAAACTGAATTCGCTTTTGACGTTTGTTATTTGCATGGCGTCGGAGGATATTCTCTATCTGCAACCTCCATCCTTCATAGTGCCTTTTTCCAGCTGGCCAACAAAAGCGCATCATTTTGCATTCAACTGAGGCAAATGCCAATGAATTTTTTAGCTTTCGTTTTGCGTTTGCCAGGCTTTGTCTGGGATTGGGACCAGCGCCGGAGATGCTGCTACCGATGGCGTTGTTCTGGGCACGAAGCGGCACAAAGCTCCTCCGTTACGCGGCTGTCGTTGCCTGCCAGCGGATTTCCTCTTTCGTTGTCGATGCTTCACTGCCACCCACCTCTCCTCCCCTCCGACCAACCACAGTGGCATTTTTGAAGCGTTTTTTTCTTGTATTTTGAGGGCAACAACGGCTTTGATAGTTTTGTCGCAAAGCTTGCGAAAATGTTTAGAAATGAAGGCTTGCTGGCATACTCGTACTTGAGATGAGTTCGCGTTCGAAATTAGTACAGGGAAAAAAAACAACATGCCAAATGGAATAAAGGCAAAGCCGTCTGTGGGGCAGCGAAAATGGGAAATGAATGTGGGATTTGTTGCGGTAAAGTGTAGCGCATTGAATGGGATTTTATTTTGAACTCGAACTGGGGATAGACACCGAAGAGGGAAGAGTGTTCAAAAGGGTTTCTTTGGTTTCCCTTTCTTCTCCGTTTTTATAGTGCTGTTATCAGTCTTCCAGCCAAGGATTTTGCAATTGTCTTCGTTTGCCTTTTGCCGTTTTGTGCATGCATTCGAGAGATTAAGTAAGCCCTGGCACAGACATCACATGATCCGGACTAAGCCTGATCGCGCTTAGTTGGTCCCAACAAAGGGGGCAAAGCGAAGGAAAGCACACAGAAAAAACCAACGAAAAACGAAAAGCCAACAAAGCACAGCCGAAAAGTCAAAGAGGAAGAGCTAAAAAATAACGAATCAGCTTAGGCGCTTACGTTTACGCTTACGTCAAGCATAACGGCATTGCATTGCCATTTAGCTGAAATGCCAGCAGAGAGAGAGAGAGAGAGAGAGAGAACACAGAGGCAGCAGCAGATTTGTCAATGCTTCAATCATTTCGTTGGCTCCCAATCATGTTCGGTGACACTGCAGACACATAATCGTACATACATGCATACACACTAAGTGTTGCCCTCCCGTACTCTGAATCATACTCACTTTGTCCAGTTCATTCTCTTCTCCACATGCACAGCTACAAATTGACTAACCCTCACCCACTCCCACTCCCACTCTCAGGTGAACTCGTGCTAATTCTCGTTTGCGATTTCCAGGCTCCAACTGGCCTCTGCCTCTGCCACTCACTCTTACCTGCGACTGATGCGACTCCGTCGCTCCAGCAACAATTCCTCTTCTGGTTGCGGCTGGCTGTTGCTGTTGCTGTTGCTGCTGCTGTTGTCGCTGTCCTGTTCCTGGTCCTGCTCCGGGTTTTGGTGCTCGACAACAAACCTGCCCACACCTTGAAAGGCCGCATTTAAATCGGACAATTGCAGACGGAAGTCATTGCCAGTATTCTCTGGATCATCATCAAACTCACGCCGCTGTTGTTGCTGTTGCTGTTTCTGTTGCTGTTGCTGCGACTGTGGCTGGCTTCGACTGAAGTCGTATATGCTGTGAATGGGATTTCCGTAGAGCTTCTGTTGCTGTAGGAGCGCCGCCTGGTGCTGCCATTTGGCCGCTGCTTTGTTGTAGTTGTAGTTATAGTTGTCATTGTTCTGCTCGTTGTCGTTGCTATCCGCAATGCCATCAACGTCGCCAAACGCGTAGTTGTAGTTGTAATCGTTGTGGTTGTTGTTGCTGTTTTTACTGCTATATCTATTGTTTTCGAGCGCGACTATAGCTTCAGCCCCGTTCACGTCTGGGTCCTCCACTTCTGTGACGTCCACCTCCTCGCAGGCCAATGCAAGCGTCCGCCTGGCAGAGTCGCTGCCAAAGCAGCGCATAGCCAGCATGGCGGCCAGGAGCAGCTGTAACAAAAACAAAAGAGATAAGGAGTGCTACGAGCGTGGGGAGGAGGGGAAATGGAAATGCAAATGCAAATGGAAACGTTAAGCAATTGTTGGTGCAGCCAATAAACAGCAAAGTGTCAACAGTTGCGTCCGCTGTTGGATGGATTCATAATACAGGAAGGATTCCCCACACACCCTACCCTAGATGTGGGATTTACATTCATACAAATGTATGTATTGTATTGCCATTTGAATGGAATCGAATGGAGGCTAGGCAACAATGTGAGAGATTAATATTTGCATTGTGTGGCTAAGAGTTTCCTCCGAATGGGATTTATTCTTATTATGTATTTCTGTGGATTTTTCAATTATTTATATAGGCCACATTATGCCACTTTATCCACTGTCACGTGTGTGGCGCGCAGTGTGTTAAACTAACCAAAAAGCGACCACTAATCCCACTCTAAGAACTCTACAGAATTTCGATTCAGACAGCCGAAACTTAAACAGCCGAGGTGCTATTAAGTGAACGGAACAGCACCCCAAATCCACCGGCCTGTCGAGAAAGTTCAATTCCCTTTTGGACGCTGACAATCAATGCGCGTTGAGAGTAATTTCAAAACCAAAACCGAACCCAAACAAGTTTGAAAAGTTTCTGAGCAGGCACCCAGAACTGTCCTCCTGCCCTTTATGGGAGAATCTGAAAGTTTTTGGGCAAGACTTTAGACATGTCTGTGTCGGTAGGTGCTGATGCAGATGTGGATAGTGGATGGTGAATGGTGGATGGTGGATGGGCGATGGCTCTGATTATCTTTGTGGCCTAGTCTGGCCAAATAGTTCGAGTTTGCCGTGCGACCTTTAGCGATAACATGCGGCACGCGCAGCTATACATACATATTACATATTTATATATGTATTTGCACATATCGCATTCATTAGAAGCACACACTACGTGACCAAATAGTTGGCGCCGGAAACTCTCAAAATTAAGATATGAAAACTCTGCGAGTGGCAATACAGGGAAGGATATGAGCGTAGTAAGTGTATTCCTGTTCCTGTTTCTGTTTCTGCTCCTGCGCCACTGTCTGTTGCTCCACAAGTTCTTTTGTCTCAATCTAGTTTTTACATACTACCACTCGTATATGTGTGTGCTTACATGGCCATGGATGTATATGTACATGTAATATCTGGCAGTGTTGTTGCTGCTCTGGATTTATAAGATTTCTTTTATGCTCTCTCGTACGCTCCAGAAGCGACCTCGACCCGGCCTACCGCAAAACTTCTTTCATTTGTGTGCCGCGCCTCTCCAGGAGCCCCTGCCCTCTGCCCCTCCATCACGCGAGAGGGGGCATTTCTGTTGCCAAGTTTCTGTTTCGGGAAAAGCCAAGTAAGTTTGTCAAACTATTTGTGTGGAATTCACAATTTGTGTTGATGAAGTTTCCGTCAAGTCTCTGGGCCGGGGCTTACCGAGGCGACCGCCTGATCTGCGTGAACTGTGTGAACAAGTGTTTATGGAATTGAATTATTTTCTTTATTCCTTGTGCCCTGCTTTTTTAGCACAGTAGGCTGCTAGGCCAGTGGGCGGTGTGTTATCTGTTTTTGGGGCTTACAGGTGGCTTTGTCTTAGTCGGCGTGGCCCCTGCTTTGTGATTTAAAGTTGCCGCCAATAAGCCGCTTTACCAGGGTCAAGATAAGGCTAAGAGCAAAGTAAATTTCTTTGGGTGTCGGCTTAATGTTTGCCCGAGAAGGCTCGCCCACGAGCTGGCTATTTATAGTGAAATTTCAGTTAAATTTCCGATGAAATCTTGCATCATTCTTGTTGATGCGTTCAAAATAAAGCAAACTAAATTGATAAGAAAGTAGATTACGGAGCTCTGACATAAGGCGGTTGGATCTCAAAGTGGCTCTCCATTTGATTTCCCTTCATTTCCTGTATCACTTTGCCTGTTATGTCTATCATGGATAAACCCTTTCATTTCATTGTTTTCTCTTCTTTGTAGCTTCTTTTATGTATTTTTGTGATCCCCTTCATTCCATATTTATTTGACTACACGTAAATCTTTATTTTTACAGATTCTTCACTGTCATTTGTGCATAAATATTTCCAACAAATTCCCAAAATAACTCACAAGCGACAGCAGGAACAACAAAAGTCGGGCAATTGAAAATTTAATTTCATAATTTATGGCGAAATGTTTTCGAATAGCTGGCACCAGTTCGGGGTTTATGCAAATCATTTGTTTTCGTTTATTATTTAATGCATTTATTACCCTATTTTTTGGAGCGGGATTTGTGTTCATCCTCCGCCGCTAACCCCCGCGACTCACTGGGCAAGGGCCGTCCCCTGTGTGGCCATTCAATTATATTTTTGCCATCAAACAGCAGCGTGTCCGTGTCCAGCGTTCGCTCACCTGGTGACAGTGCATGCACAGACATGTCGCCCTCCCCCCAACCTGTGTGTGTGTGTTGCATAAATTTGTTACATTGCCAGTTTTCAATTCAATTTCACTGCACGGCGGCAATTGTTCGAAATAAAACTTTATCCTTGTAGGGCTACAAAAACAGACACAAAAATCCAGGAGCACAACTAAACGGCAGCGAGGGAGCAATGGCATCACGAGTGTACCAATTTGCATGCTTGTAGTGGTGTGTATCTGTGTTTGCAAGTTTTCATACTCTTTACTTGTGCAGTTCTTGGCTGTGACAGACTTCATTTGGCACCAAAGTTGAGTTTTGTGTTAATCTTCAACGTTTAAGTTCCAGCAAATATGCAAATGCATGTTTTAGGGTATCCCATGGTCGATTCCTAGACTCTAGATTAGTTCTGCAGAGCAGCATCAGCGACACAAAGCATCGAACACCAGCCAGCAACATCGTCGTACAAACAGCACTTTTCTCTCTCCTTTTCTCTTTGCGATTTGCGATTTGTTTTAATTGTTGCTCTCTCTCGCTCTCCGCTGGTTGTCGTTGCTGTTGTTGCAGCTGCTGCTGGTGTTGCTCTTGCATGCCCCCTCGGCCACAGGCAATTTGCTGCAGCGGGTACAAGCTGCTGCTGTTGCTGCTGTCTGGTGATTATTGCCAATTGTCAAATATTAGTTTTTTCGTTATTGTTTCATCAATGCCATGAAGCGATTTTAATTAAACGTAAAAGTTTGCCAATATCAAAGTTATCCCACGCCGCAAATTGGCTCGCTGCTCGTGCTGCCCATGTTTTGTTGCATGTTCCATGTTGCAACCGCGAGCATTTAACACCATTTCCTGTTTGTTTTTAAATTAAAGGCCATGACAGGACCTTGGCGTTGCCTCAATGTTACGCACACTTGCAGCTACCTGCACAGCCTGTTAATCACCTCTCTATCACGGGCGAGACGGCTCTCCATGCTGCTCGCTTTTTCCACTTTGGCCATGCCACAAGCGACCCACTAAAAGGCGCTGTAACGAAGCATTTGGTGGTAGAAGATAGAAGAGGGTGGCTTAGAAAGGTAAGCAGAGGTAGGATATGGAGCCCAGCTGAATATGCCCCTCAGTTTTTACTCTGAGACTTTGATCCTGCAGCTTTGGATGTTGCTTCGAGGCTGCTGCTGCTGCTGCTGCTACGAGCATCGTACACTGGCAGCCAAAGGGAGCTTTAATGTGGCAATTAGCGGCTGACTTTGGCCACTGGCTTATTTGCTGGCTCGTTTTTGTGGCGCAGTGATTGCCGGGGAAGTGCATTACGAGCTCCCAGGCCACTGGCCATTTGAATCCTATCTATCAAGGCCACACAATGGACCCGAACAATTGCCTCTCAATCCTGTAATGCACCGATGGAGCTCCATGGAGCTCATTCAAATGGAATACCAATCGGCAATATTGGCTCAAATACTATCTACTCGAATTTGTGGCTGGTTTACCCGATTGCCCAAGGTCTCTCTGGGTAGTGGAATGGTCAGTTTGCCTTTGTCTGCCTGAGGCTCTTTCTGGTAGTGAATTTCGGGTTCAAATTTCAAAATTAAACTGATTCAGACACCGCCTAATACTCATCAGATACACTACAATGAGACTAGAGGCAGGCCAAAATCTACAATATATTTCAATAAGTATAAATTACTTAACTTAATTTGAATTTTTGATAAGAACATTAATGATTCCACTCTTCCTTTTCTTTGGTTCTTCGAGTGTTTCAAGCGCAAATGGAACACAAAAGCAAACGGACACGAGACTGCCATACACTTTTTTGAAACCTCTACGAATCCTGAGCGAGAGGGAAATCCTGACTATTCTGCAGTGAAATGTGAGCTCTGAAGCCATGAGCCTCTGAAGCTTTGATTTACATTCGTACAACAGAAACTAAGACCAAATTAAAATGCAAGTATGGACAATGAATGGAAGGCTGCATTAAGCACACAAGAACTTTCAAATAGTTCAGGAAAAACTGCAAAAACAAAGAACAGAAAAATGATGTGCCAGAGTCACTTGGCCTCCAGCTCCTTCGTTAATCCATTTTGGCTTACTTTTGTTGCCTTGATCATTGGCTCTGCTTGCCATAAATTCCAGACCTTGCTTAATATTTTAAGGGTATTTCGCTGCCGTTTACAAGCCCATAATTAAACCACAAGAGCAGCGAAGAGTGGCAGCCACTCACTGGCTGACTCACTGGCATTCTTGTTTGTTTGGTATGCTTTGGTTTCCATATTGATTAATGCACCAGCAAAAGGGACTTGGGGACAAAAGGGGTTGCATGCGCGGCATGCAACAAGTGCGAAAATGCAATCGACGTATTGCTGCACATTTAAATGTGGCCCCAGAGCATGTGTTTGTGGCAGCGCGCGGAATTTCAGGTCCTTTATCGTGGCGCCTATCGTGTAGTGGTGATGCCCTGCAGAGCGCTTCGGAGCAGGAGCACCAGCAGGAGCATATTGAAATTGTTGCCATAGCGGGCGTCGTAATCCCTGCCATCGATGAGGGGGTTAAAGCTTGAAAAGGCTCAACCCTCAACCCCATGACGGCTCCGAGGCCAACGAAAAAAGAAAATGTAA